TATTTTCTCTCTGTCATAGCTTAACATCTTTACGATGCCGCCTCATTTTCCGTTTGTCAAGCCCCAAGAGTCTCTCTTTGTGTCATTCAAGCCTCTCTTTGGAACAACTTTTCTCTGTGCAAACCACTCCTAGTAAAACTGTTTTTGTCTGTGGTCTTATGCTCCCACTTCTTTGGGAACAGTGAGAGATTGCATGTTTTATCTAGTAACTGAGATATGACAGTAGTTTTGGATCACAGTCTTGAGGCATAAGTCTTTATCTTGCCTCTTGATGAAATATTAGATACAGTTACAGTTCTCTGCTCCTTTTAATCCTTGTTTCTTTGATTTTCCATAAAAATTGGATGCCCTCAAATATCAAATCATGATTTACATGAACACATAGTCTATAAAAAATATCAGTCCAAGAAAGGATTGATTTCCATTGCATTCAAAGCCATTTTTTTGCATGTAGTATGGGCACAAATCAAGATACAGTGCTTTTATGGTTTATAAACTTTTTAAAGCAATATGTTGTGTCAAAAATACCATTTCATCCTTTATACCTTTTTTCTTTTTTTTTCTTTACCAGTAAATGACAAAGGTTGAAATAGTGAAAACAATGTAGGCATAAAACCGAAAAAAATATGTTTTTGTACAATTCCTTCACTGGTATTTCCCCAGACTATTTGGGTAAGAGCCTTATCCTTTATCCTAAGGCAGAAAATGAGGTATTTGTTATAACATGTAGCAGAAGATACATGATCTGTTACATCATTGTTGACCACACAAATAACTATTTCTACTTTGTAAAATGTTTTTCTTGATTATGGCAGCTAGGAAAACATCTGTTTTCATTTTCACATGTTCACTAATTTTTTAATTTTTTTTTTTTTTGTGGTGAGGACCACCATTAATGTTTACCAGAATTTGATTAGGTATTGCATTGATGGAAACAAATTAATTTGCATGCACATAAGTCTCACTGGCACTTGTTGAGGACCAGGATTTATTATTATGATAAAGACAGTGGGTGGGTCTGTTAGGTGAACAGATGTGAGTACAAGAGACCCTAAAACTTTGGTTTGGATATTTATTAAGATTTATGTAATTTGACCAGTCTATATTTAACATTGTTTGTTTTTGTTAAACTGTAGTATATTTTATGCAAGTTATGTAATATAAATGTAAGCACATTTTAAAGTAAAGCATATTTTTAAGCTGGTCTTCAATAACAGTTAATACTGGTAAGCAAAGGGACAAGTTAAAATGGAGAAAAACATTGTAACTTGCACATATAGAAGTCAAGTGATTTGGTAAATGATTAGAGAAATTAAGGACATTTTAAAAAAGGGCTGTTGCCAAAAGAAAAATTAAGCAAGAGTCTCAAGAGTCTCAAGCCTGAGACTGACAAGAGAACTGCAGATTGTCTTCAAGTTTCTCTGACTGTCTCTGTCTTCTACAAGCTCCCATTGTCTTCTGTCTTTCCCACAAGCTGGGAATTAGTAAGCACAGCGTTATCTCACCCAAGGGAGAAGAAACCTGACATTACCTAAAATGAAGAAGAGGGGAGCCTGAATGAATTAACAGCGACGAGCTGAAGGCACGGTGCTTGCAGATGAGTTTAACAGTTGGGCTACTTCACAGCGTGGATGTTATTTATAGCAATGCAGGTAGAGGCATGATCACCCGGGGATTTCATGGGGCTTAACTCAGAGAAGCTTGCCTGACCACAGGTTGGTCTGGATCAAGCATTTGTTTTGCAGGTAATACAGACTGTCATAGGTAACTCGTTAGAGCGACAATGACCAGGATTGCCAATTGGAGATAAAATACAGAATGTGGTGAAGTGTATGAAGGCACCCATCTCCATGCTTTGTGATACCTTGCCGTGCTCCACCTAATACCCAGGAAATGGCAATTAGCTGACCTTTATGACTAAAATTAATATGGGATGAGAATACACAGTACACTGTGGGACTCATTATTTGTCTTCCAGATGCAGGGGGTGAGGAAAATATGGGAGTTACTGTTTACCTTACAGTACTAGTATTCTGATGGCCACAGTCCAGGCCCTGACTAATGGTTTTGAAATGCTGAGGACAGAAGTTAAACAGGCATCTACATCCCAGACCCCACTAGGGAACCTCTGATTAGTGTGTGGAGGGTGAGAAGCAAGGGAAGCACTGGAACTTGAAGCCCAGCCAAGAGCATAAAACCCACAGGGCTTGTGGCTATTGCGGGTAATAACAAAGGGACAGTGTCCATAGGAGGGTAAGAGAGACGGTTCAGGGAAGGGCAAGTCAAGCAGGCAGAAGGCTGAGGAGTCAGATGGTCTGTGCTGCAGGTTTCAGTCATGGCTTAGGGAAGGCAGAGTGGCTGGGCAATGGATCTGCAGTGAGAGGTGCCCACAGGGGTGTCTCAGTCCCCGCTGCGCAGGACCGTGCACAGGAACGATGGCCGGGGCAAATGGAAGCTCTGGAGAGCCGTGAGTGCCTGTTGAGAAAGCTAATGGGTAAGAACATTAGGAGAGCTGGCAAACACTGCTGGCAGTTTATTTTTATAGCTTTGTTAAAACAAGTTTCACAGGTTTCCAGAATGTTGTACTCTTCTCATACTGTCTGATTTCTCGTTATGTTACATAGATTATCTGTGTCTTGGTGTAATTATTCTGTTTAAAAACATTGTAGAAAAATGGCATGCATGGAGTTTGGGACAAATGGAAGTCTGGGTTGTTTTAGCTTTTAGGTTTTCGAGAAACAAAGCGGTGTAGCTGTACTATCTGAGGAGTGGAGAGAAATTCAAAGAGTAAAGGCGGTAAACTTCAGAAATTGAAATATTTTATTAGGCCATGAGTGAAGAATTATAGCCCATGCTGTGAGTATAGACAACTCTCACATTTAAGTAAAATGACTAAAAATATAATTTTCTACTTAGTGAGACCACGGTACCTTCTGTCAGAGTATGGTTTGAGAAACGATCTCATCACCATCAAAAATCCCGGTGAGAAAGTTTCCTTTTCTGCTTTTCTTCTTACAGAGGTTTTACTGATTGTGTTATTTATTAGGGACCAACCAAAACCAGGCTGGACACTGTACAAAGGGTAGGGTAAGAGGCAATCTTCATGCCTTAAAGCGTACTACAGGAATGGACAAAAGCAGAAAGGAGTGTGGTAATACATAGCTATTGATGAAATGGTAAAGGACATGTTAATTCTCCCTTTTTGGCAGAAGAATATTGTTTAGGGATGAGAAAGACAAGAATGGGGAAATTTGTAGTAAACAATAGGGAAAGACAAGATAGGGAGGGCACTGCAGAGATGGAGGGACTGAGATGAGATTGGAACAAGCTTGGATCAAGCGTCAAGAATGGCTTAAGCCCAGTCTGAATAGAGAGAATATTTTCTTTATGTTCCTACTTTAGCTTTTTTCTACAGCTTCTCTGCTGCTGTCAGTGCCTGGTTGTTGACTCTGTGCACTTTCTTTTGCAAAGCTTCTGTGGCTTGAGTCAGAGGAAATCCTGTCTGAGGGGAACATTGCCCTTGACCGAGGGAGTCCAAGCTGCTGGCACAGCATGCTGCAGGTGGGGAATGGGCTGTGGCACCAGGACTCCCCCCTCTCCATTCCTCCAGACTGAGCCCTTGAGAAGCTGCTCTCCCAACCCAAGCCAGGCTTTTAAGCATGCAGAGTGTATCTTGCACTTGAGTACGAAGTGTGGCATGATATGTAGGATTTATAAGTGTTACAAAAGTAAATGGACTCTTTTTATACCCAGGTTATTGGAAGTTTATCAATAGGATTTAAATTCAAGTTGCAATTCTGAAGGTATGTCTGCTTGTGATGTGACAGGTACAAGGGTTGCAAGAGCAATGTCACAATCACAGCAGTCATAAGAAAAAGAATATTTAATGTTAATTCTTGAAAAGTTTAACTTAAAAGCCAGGAAAATTACCAAAATGTTAATGTTTCTGAAAGTCTCACTTAATTCAACATCATCAGATATCTTAGACAAATCAAAAGTGCCACCCACTTCAGGACTTAGGACTCTTGGTATCTTAGGACTTATGAATACTAAATTAAGTGTTCTGTCTCTGCCAAACACTTACCTTGTAGAAACAAGTACTGGAAAGTTTGTTTGTTTTCCTAGAATTCTAAATTAAATTAAATCATCATAACCATTTTTAATGTGATCTCATTCAAAGACAAGATTAATTCAACTTACATATACAATATACAGGAAAAAACTACAGCAGAAATCTAAGCCTTGAAATTTTTTGTATAAGTTTAAAGTATTTAAAAGCCTTATTTATTAAGCTCAAAATATGTATGTTAGATTGTTGCATCTGTGTTTTTAAACCCTAATAACTAATAACATGTCTTTCTTTAGAAAAACTAAGCAAAACTTTGTGTAAATATCTCCTTTCTTCACCCTGTTTTCTAGTATATTCAAAAACCATTTTTACATTTTGTGTTAAAGTAGCTGTCTTTCCTTTCACCAATCAAAACCATTTCCAAAATATTCTTTCCCAATTTGTGTTTCTAAATACAGATTTTTTTAATTTGTCCTTCATTTTCCTGGCTCAGATGTGTTTGAAATGCAACAAAAAGGTCCCTGAGGGACAAAACTAATTCAAGTAGAACTATACGTTTTTTGTTGTTGTTGTTGTTGTTGTTAGCAATATGACTTTAGTGTTTGAAAATATTTAAAAGAGGTTAATTTTTTAAAAAAAAATATATAGAAACGTGGTCCTTAAGGGTTGGGTTTTTTCCTAATAAAACCACAGGTGCACATGGCTTCTTCCTTCCCTGAGGAGACCCCTCCCCAAGTGCTGTGTGATGGCTGGGTTGTGTCACTTTTCTCATCCCAGGGTGGCTCGAGCTGATGGCTCAGCTCACATGGCCACACCAGCATGCGAGCAGCTCCTTTAAGAGGCACCTGTCAGGAGAAAAGAAGGAATGCACCTCTTCAGCTTATTTCCACCTTGGGTCTCATTACAGCAAAACTAAGACTGCCAGTTGGACTGAAGTTGAAAGCTCAGCTTCTCTGGGAATAGCTCCAAGACCACCGACCACCAGGCGTGCAGAGCCCTCTACCATCTCCAGGACAAGGTGGAGTCCCGTGGTCATGGCTGGACTTGGACAAGGGTGCTTCAGATGAAAGGTTACAGGGTTTGAAACTGTCCTGTTCTTATCACCCTCCTAATTAGTGGGTCTATCTGGACCCTTCCTTCTCACAATCAGCTCCTCCACCTGCTTAGCTGGCCAAAGCTGGCACCTGTCCTCACTTCTCCAAGCAGGCTGTTTTTAATTCACAGCCCTGCAGTCTCCCTTCCATCCTTCCAGGGTTATGTTGCTGTGTTTTCCAGGCAATAGATAAAATAAGTAAGATTGACGAATGACTTTAGCATATGACCATCATGCATCAGTTATTAAAAAGAAGGAATAGCTGGAAGGTCCATCTAGAGCTTGTTTGCCTTGTCCATATGGGAAATGGAATTTAAATTACCAAGTTGCTTTAGGAGCAGCTTGTAATCCCGGTATAGTGAAGTCATGTTTTTCATGGGATGGGAACAGCAGATAGTAAGAGTTTCTGCAGTTAGCATGATATCAAGTGTGATGGCAAGATACTTAAAAGTATTTTTGTTCTAGATGGAAATATTCAGATGCAGAACCAGCAATTCTACCTCCCTGAGAGAAGACATTGAGGAACTGCCATCAACTTGCATGTGTTTGCAGCGTGTCTTCCAGGATACCCACAGCTTGATTCACATTCTCACTGGAAAGGGGGAACAGCTTCCCAGAGCCTGTAACAGGATCACTTTCATGCCGAGTATGAGGTTTTCCTTTCTTTTTTTTTTTTTTAAATACTTTCCTTGCCTTTTTTGGTTTGACAATTCCTAATTCTTTTTCAGCTTACTGACAACAGACATACCTCCTAGTTTAAGGTTTCTGAACATGGAGGTTTCATGGACCACAACTTGAAAACCATTGTAGTGTGAGGCAGGACAATGCTGTGTATTCATTTGGCTTTAGAAATTGTTAACAGAATAATCCCATTTGAAATTTCTGTTTCCAATCATATATGGTAATAAAAATAGGGATGATAATAGACCTTTAGCTGTGAATTTGGATGCTCTTGTGCTAAGTGCTGTACAAATACAGAAGAAAAATTCAGTCCCAGTGCCAAAGGGTTTAGACTTCAGAGAGGTGGCTGCAAACTGGTGGGGGAATAAGTAAAACAGAACAACAGGCCCGTGCTGGTGGTTCAGCTGCTGTCAAAGGTGCTTGTTGGAGTCCTGGTGGTCTACAGGGAGTCTCTTCTAGGAAAAAAGGGTTAATGAGAGTCAAACCTCTGGATGAAAATTCAATGATTATTTAGGGAAGGGGGCATCATCAGGCAGAGGCAGAAGGAGGGAGGGATGCTCAGGAGGGCATGATAGATGTCCCTCGAGGTCAAGGCAGCACTGTACTCTGTCAGAGGTTTGAAGAACAGATCAAGAACCAGATGTAATGAGAGGCAGTTTATAAAATGTTCATTAGGTGGGTGCAAAAACTGCACCATGCTAGTGTGAGATATGGGAAGGTTAAAATAGAGATAGTGATAGATATTGATCTTAGGCAGTATTTGACCCACTCTTCCTGCTGTGCATACACTGCTTAAACCTTTCCCTCCTGTGCACGAAGGGTACAATTCATATTCTCTGCTCCTCACTCATCTGAAAGCTTCAGGTGTGGTATGAACTCAGAGTTGAAGCTCTCCCTCTACTCTGTGGAGAAGCAGAGGCAAGCACCAAGCACTAGGCAGTCATCTACAGAAGGAGATCTGACATGAGAATTATTTTTTCAGTGTCTCTTGTCTGTATAATCTTGTCATGACACTTAACCTTCAGACAGTTAAAATTTGCTGAAAGGAATCCTGTGCCAGGTCTTCTCTTTGACTAAATCCTTTATTAAGTCCTGTACCTTTTTAAGCCTTAAAAATAACAAATTTAAAGATGTATTAAAATTTTCTAGCAAACTAGAAAAATATTAATATTACTGTTACTATTATTCTGTTGTTGTTGTTATTTTTGTTATTTTTTGCTATTGTTAATACATAGTACAAAAGATTTCTAGTAAACTTCTTCAGTAAATTTCCCAGGGATAATCCAAACTGCTTTTTCTAGAGAAAATGTGTTTGTGTTTTCCAATCCCTTATATCAAACAGAAGGGAAGTTACATTCTATTTCTCATTGCTAATATTTCCCTGCTAAGAACTGGAAACCATCCCTGTGACTTAGACAGGGAGGCATGGAATCTACATTTCTTGCTATCATGTAAGGAAATGTTATAAATGTCAGTGTTGTAGTGGGGTTTTTTTGTTTGTTTGTTTCTTTTTTGTAAAAGAGATGCAACACCAATATTGAACACTTGGTTAAGGATAAAATGAAAAAATGTTTGCCTTGGAAGGGGCTTTAAAGATCATCTAGTTCCAATTCCTCTGCCACAGGCGGGGACACTTCCATGAATCCTGGTTATTCAAAGCCCCATCCAACCTGGTCTTGAACGTCCCCAGGGATGAGCCATCCACAACTTCCCTGGGCAACCTGTTCCAGTGCTTCACCGCCCTCATAAGAAGGGCTTTCTTCCTAATAGCTAAACTAAACCTACCCTCTTTCAGTTTAAATCATTCTCCCTTGTCCTATCACTACCTGTCCTTGTAAAAAGTCTCTCTCCAGCTTTCTTGTTGGCCCCCTTTAGGTACTGGAAGGCGCTGTAAGGTCTCACACAGAAAAAAAAAAATCCAATTAAAACCAAATGGGGATAAGACAGATGTATTTGAACATGAAACAAACGACCTTCTATCTTAGTGATTTCAAAATGAAATGACTTTGAGGGAAATATTATTTCATATCATCTGCAAACTGTGCTTTAGGACAATATTCTTGACTGTTTAAATGGGCTAAGTAGGTAAAATACAGTAGGTCATTATGCACATGAGTATTGTGGTGACCTACTGCTTCTTTCTAACATGAAGAACTTTTAATTATTGCATCAGGTTACCTTCTTTCAACCTCTCATTACTTTAAAGCACTCCATCGTCATCTTCACTGCAATTTTCTTTCTAAAACTTCAATAAACCTTCAACCCTTGAACCAAATGTCCTTATTCCCCTCCATGAATCTTTTCCTGCAAGTGTTTTCTGTTCCTGTAATATTGCTGCTTCTGATTACTGAAGTCTTTTCAGTTCTGCATTGAGTTTTTGCTGTGCTTGCTTTTATTTTTCAGGAAAGGTGACCTGTGACACAAGGACACTTGACAACACTACTAAGTGATGCACCTCAGCTGCTGCAACTGGCCTCTGTCATCAAATAGGATTTTCTACCTATTGGATCATTGCTAAATCAGTCTCTATATACTCAAAGTGTTTGTCTATCAGTGATGTAGTTAAGGAAACACTTAGAATGTACTGAAATAAACAGGAATTCTAGCATTTATTTCAAGCTGTTGCAGGCCTCGTGTCACATTTCCCTCACAGTTTGTCTGCTTGATTTTTTTAGTGATCAGTAGAAATTAGAAATGATCATTCAGTTCTGCTTACTTCTACATTCCATGCAATTACTTTGATTTAAATTCTGAAACTGGGTTAGAGGTGGGATAAACCTGAAGCAGACTGAAAATAACAGTTTATCTTTTTTAAAAATGCAGATATGTGAATTAATAATCAAAAATAAAACTATATTTGAATTCATAGATGAAAACTCATTTCCTGTGTTGTTTTTAGGACATGTAAAATTGCTCTGATAACACAGCTGAGAAGCTCATTAAGTATGTTTGGTCATGTAAAAATGAACCTCTTTATTCAGATGGGAAAGGCAACACCAGGGAAGTTGACCCTTATTATAGGTAAGTAATTCCATCTTTTGTTAAAAGTAATGCATGCAAAGCAACATTTCTTCATGAGTGTCATCCTGTTTGCCTAATTAGAGATTGTCACTAGTGATGCTAATGACTGTCAACACACAAATTGTATGGACAGGTTTATGGCACCATGATGGAAATTACCTGTTAGCAACCAAATATTTTCAGTAAGTAATTTTCACATGGGTGAAATCCTGTTGCTTTAAATGCTGATATACTTATATATAGTACAGCAGTGCAGTGATTAGTTAGTGAGGGGGGAACGATAATTAGTTATTACATTTATATTTATATATTTAAATTACATATAATATTGCAGTCTTGGTGTCACTGTACCATTCAGGTGAGGTGTACTAACACGCTTCTCTATTTTTGGTTTGAATTATTAATATAGTCCCTGTAGAATACAAGCTGAGTGCTAAATAATTGCACTCTGTCATGGGTAACTTTTAGTTTTCAGCATCAAATTTGGAAAGAAAATTTCTTAATTTGATCTTTTCTGCTTTTTGAGTATGTATTTTGTGCATTGTACAATACGGTATTCAATTGCAATCACATAAGGATAAATTTCTACAAGAGCTTTTAACATGGGAATCTCAACAAGTTTCAGAGGTGGTAATTGAATAAACATAAGGAATTCTTTATTCTGCTTCAAAGCTTCTAAACGTTTTGGATCTATGTTTTGAGCTGCAAATCTCCTGGAAACAAGTTCTGCAATGGAACTTATTATTTCAAGATTCTAATTGTTGTCAAGCTGAAGACAGTACAAGAGTTGTATTTTGGCATTTTCACATCTGACTCTGCCAAAACGAAAAATCCAGAGATCCAGAGAAGTCAAAGTTAATCTGATGAATTCATAGGTTTTGATACATTTTGAGTTCTCACTGGAAGCTGTGGTAGCAGAGGGAAGGCCTCTTGCCTCAGACTTATTTACAGCCATCCTGAAGAATTTCTAATGGAGACCATCTATGACCTGCAGAATGTTCCCTCCATAACCATTCATCTCCACACAGGTTGGAAGGAAGCTTCAGGATAAAGAGCACTGTCTTTCAAGTAATTAAAAATTTTTATAACTTTATCCAATAGGTCTCCAAATTTACAGTACTACCAGCTAGCAGTGTGCTGCACTGGCAAGGACAGGTATCACCCTCTTCTGGACTTCACAGAAGAGTTAAATGTTTTTTGAAACAGAAGAGTTTACTGTCCTTTAAGAGCACATACATTAGGATTTTCTTTTAAGCACTGTTGCAACAACTGAAACTGCTCAGATATTGAGAAAAAGACATTGCCCAAATAACTTTGAGGTGGATTTTTCTAAAGCTTTGGGTGGTCACTGGATTCATTAGTGTGCTGCATTCCAAAATTCCTGGCAAATTTCTTCCAGAACTCGTTGTGTCTTTCAGTACTTTCAATGTATCTATATACTTTGATGGTTCCATTAAAAATTACTATCACTAAGGAAAGAAACAATACTTGTGAGCCCTACAATTAAAATTGTACTGAATAATTGAATGTTCAATACTAGATTTAAAAAAAAAAGTTTGCAAGTTTGAGTGAATCTTGCCAAATAAAATACTCTCATAAATAAATAGCTTATGAGGAACAGAAAATTGGAACCATCACACTGGTATACCTTTCTGATTTGTTAACTACTCTTGAGCCAGCTTTGATACCAGCAGTGGAGAATTACAGGACAAGATTTGCCAAAGACCCTAAAACTACAATATGTGTCAAGAAATCTTTGCATGTTAATGGTGTTTTCTTCTTGTTTCTAAATATTTTTTTCCTAAAAAGGAAAGAAAAAAATAAAACCCACCTGTGTGCTTATTAAAATCTCAGTTTCCTCTAAAAGATTATTTCCTCTGCTTCAGGAAGTTGGCAGGCAGCAAACCACTTCTAAATCAAGCTGCAAGCTGGTACTGCAAAAAGCAGAGTTTATTGGTACCAGACATTTGTAAATAAGTAATTGACACTCATGCTATAACAATAAGCAATTCCTAAAAAACCAAAAAACAGGGAGCTGCCAGAACAAACAAATTTGCAACGAGCTCTATCCAATGCTATATATCCAGGGTCAGTCCCATCAGTGGTGGTCAAAGTAACAGCTGCAGGACCAGCTGGAGTTCTGTAAAGTGCACTTGTCTCCTGCTTTTGCCTCTTCCATCCTCCTGCACAGACTTTCAGTGGTATCTATGGCAATGTTATCCAAACAATGTGCCTGAATCCAAAACCTCTGGAATTACCAGGATTTGGATACACAGGGGACCAAGGTGACAGGCATACTACTTCCAGGGGAAATGGGCTCAGCACTTCACCTTTTGAAGGACCCGAGTCACTAAAACATGCCTCCCCTCTTTGGGTCAGCACTGCAGGGTCGTGGCTCAGGAACAAAGAGAGGGCATTTGTCCTTCCCTGCTCTTAATTATTGTGTGGGATGCCATTAACATTCACAGTGTTTGCAACAGCAAATAACTACATTTTGAGGTAGCTTGTCCCCTGTACCCACCGTTTCAAGCTTTGGGCTGGCTCCCACCCCTGCCACCTCCAGCTTTTTCAGTGCTTTCCCCTTACCTCCTGCATTTTTGCCACAAGCAGAGCTGTGTAAAGCTGGCAGAGCAGTGAGAGGGGGCTGCAGCAGACATCTGGGGCTTTCTGAGTAACTCATAGAAGCCATGCAAAATTGAACCTAAATAAATGGTAAGAAAGGATACAGGGTCTGTGTTGTACTGTAAGCACTTTTTTGGTAGTGGTGAGCATGTGAAAAACTGAATTAGCTGATAAGGCAGATGAGCTGAGAGCCTTTATCTCCGTGAAACACTAGGATTTAAATGAGGGAGCACAGACCTTGAAGCTAACTCTGTATCTTCACTCCTATCTAGTGCAGCAAAAGAGAGATATCATACCTCAGGAGACTGGTGAGCAAGGTAAGAAACCATAACTTTATTATTAGTGTGATTTAAAAACAAAATTAATTATTCCTTTGTGTACACTGTGCCCAGAGCAAAAGAAATCAAAAACAACTGCTTTCCCTTTGTCAGGGACTACAGGTAAGGATGCCTGGATGAGGAGGAAGTGTTTGTTTTTTCTTCCCCACTGTGGGCAATTATTTTCAGAACACATGACTGACAATCCAAAGAACAGGATTTCTTTATATTTTATAAACATGGTCTTGATATTACATAATTTTCCTAGCAATTAAGGTTTTGAAAGTTAGAGGATAGATCTCAAAACTCCTAAAAGCCTGAGCTTAGAGCCTCTGTTATATTAGTTTCTGCTGGTTTTGACCTTCAGGATCTCTTTCTTAAATGGCTTTCCTAGAAGGAAAGCAAACTGGAAGGGATGAAATATACCAATTTTCTTTGCTAGTGGGGGTGTTGATGCAGGGCTCTAAAGTGAAAGCAGAGTGGGCTGGTGACAAGGAATAGTAAGGAATGTCTCTTCTCAGCCTCTGTCCAAGATATTTTATGGTGTTTGATGAGGGCTTTTTTGCTGTTGCTGAGACAATGAGTGGGAAAGAAAATTACTTAAATTTCAATGAATTCTGGCTTAGGTGTCAGATGCTGGATGTACGTTTGTTGAAAGTGTTGTTATAGAAGCAAATAAATCTATTTTAATTGTTTCTGTTTAAAAAATTGTTTAAAATCATAAATACTATAGTTTGCAAACAACGTGAGACAAAGCAAATAGTACAGTAATGGATACACACCCACATTTATACTGTAAATCAAATATATGTAGAGTAGAAATCCATTATTTTTAAGAAAGTTAATGAGTATTTCCAAAGAGATGTTGCAATGCTGAGGCTATTCTAGGCTAATAGAAAAATTATTTGAATTGTTCAGTAATAACATCTTGTGTACTTGTGCCATGACAGCAGATTTCTGAAATGTTACTGAAGCAAACTCACTCTTAATTCTCGTGATGAGTGACACAGTGAGTGAGAGCAATTATCTCCAAATTTAGCTATTCTTTTATTCTCAAACTGATGTATATTTCCACAAAACATTGACTGACTGTCTTCTAAACAACCAAAGTTCAGTCTTATGAAACTGCTTGCATGCTACTCTGTTCAGCTATGTGGCTCAGTATTTGTGGTGTGCGAGGAACTGCCTGTGCCTATTGTTTTTTTTCCCAGACTAAATCTCTGAAGGCTTTGGCCATCCCTGTTGAAGTCATTGGGCTCTGAAAATGCTCACAACTTTATTATATTAATGTTAAAAGTGTTGGAATTTTCAAAGGCCTACCAACCAAATATTGCAAATGACAGTACCTAAACCTTTTCATTTTAAACAATCACTCATGTGACTTGGAGACCATTCCATCCTCCAAGCAAAGGGTTACCCAAAACAACTAACAGGGATATCAAGACCATTGCTTAATAACCACAGCCAATATTTTGCAATATTTATTGTGCTCTGCAGGAGTTTTCCTGTGATCAAAACTTGTCTGGTTTTATTAACAGTATTCTCAGTTGTGTCACATGGATTGTTTCATGTTATTAGAGCTGAATGCTGTAAGTTCCAATTCAGAATTGCTAGTTATAGATTTTGCAGGAGTGTATTTGCATGCTGTAGCTTCTAACAAAATGCTGTGTAATTTGAGTACCACCTTTATCCATCATGAGTCCCTCTGGTATGTATCACTATCCAGGAAATGTGTCTGGATACCTTTCCTACTTAACCTGGTTGATTTTACATTACACAACCAGGTGCATTATTTTCAGCATGTATTTTTGAGTATTTAGGTGTAAACCGACCCAAGAGAAGCATACAGATAGTTCTCACTTAAACCAGTTTTGTAGAAATTATGTATGGGGATTTTAGAGATGACCTTCATGTTTGTTACCAAAACTCAGCCTACACACAGACACAAGTGCAATCAGATGTTTTTACTTGCATAGCTAAGATATGTGATTTTTTTTTTTTTCAATGGATTTGCATGTCTTTCTGTAAAGAACTATTCTTCATAAGCAGCAGGTAAAGAGAAGAATATGGGTAAAATATTTGGGAAAGATAGTGAAAGGAAATTTAATATATTTAATCTTATTATACATTTTTCTACATTGAAATCAACAGGCTGCAAATATATTTTGCTACAAAGCTTTGTGTAAGAAATATCTCTATAAGAAAATACATCTCATTAAACATTTCCTGTAAATAAATTATCCCAAATAACTGAGTTTTGCAAGAGCAAAATGGCGGGTAGGCCAATAAAAAGAGCTAAAAAAATGCTGGGATTCCATTTCTTCAACCCCCCTGCTCATGCTGGATATAATTTTCTTTTATACGTGGTGACAATGAGAGCACTTGAGTTCTGAGTATGTGCTGTGTCAGTGTAAATAAAACTAGCAAAATTGGTTCCTCAGCTCTTTTAGGATTTTTAAAAATCTGAGCCTTATTCCTGTTCCAATGACACTGGAAAATGCTGGAGTTAGAAGAGTTGTTTCCAGTAGGGAAAGAGGTGTGTGAAATACTCTTCTGCTTTAGACTCTTATGAAAAACAAGGGCAATGAAGCTGAGGTTCGTGATCTAATTAGGAAGACTGAATCAAGTGGTGTAGCTAAGCTAAAGCTTTAAAGCATCCCACTGGTGGAAAAATGTGTCAGGTAATGGTGATGTGGTCTTCAAAGTTAAACTACATACTGGCCTACCCATGTTGTGCCAAACCAAGTAAACAGAAAAGTCTCTTGTATTATAGAACATGAAAATGGGTAATTATAAATGGGTAATTACAACTTAGCAGTAGGTCAATTATAGAATCAGACTTCTTTTAAAGTAATATCAGTCTCTTTACCAAAGTTTATACAAAGGAATATTTGCAAATAAGTAAAATTTAAAAAGTTTGAAAAGACCTGGGAGACAAGTCAAGGGACAGAGGCTGTCTCTTTTTTTTAACCAGTACACAAACAACGTAGGGTTGGCAGCTGTTTCCACAGTCTATATATTTCTGTCATTCCTGGCAGAACACTCCAGAGTGAGAGGACATCAGTTCCAGGCTGAGTACATGCCGGAGGGTGGTATGCTGTGACATCACATGATGTTTTAACAAGTCATTTGTGGTCATGCCATCTTCTTACATCATCTTCTGCAGGAGAGGAGGTGCTCACAAGACCCATCTCCTCTTTCTTTGCTGTCTCGAGAACAAATCCATTATACTGCTGCAGAGTGCCATGAAGTGTAAAAATTTGAGTTTGTAGCAGTATGCCCAAAACACCTCAACAAATGCTGAGGTGTTATGTATATTATATTATAACTGCAACAGAGAAACAACTTCAAAGCTCTTCATGTTAAGCAGCTCAACACACTGCTCTTTCTTTTGGAAATGTCTATAATGCAAGAACACTTAGGCAAGGACAGTATATTTAGGACTAATGAGGAACTGCATGTATATAATTCTGGATTCAGCATGCACACATATTTGCTTCATCTGTTCAACCCAACGTAAATTAGCAGTAAACTGAGGCAAATACAAGTGATTAAGTGCCTTACTATGACATTGAACTACATAAAGCATTTCAATTTACCCATGTATAGAAATAAAACCCTGTTTAAATGCCTCCTCTTAGATAAACTGCAGCTCTCTTGAAATTTGGAGATGGCCAGTTTTCACCTTCTTCATAAGGGCCTGCAAAACACAGCACTCTTGTCCTGCAGGAGTGCTTCCTTGCTGAAGTGTCAGCCCTGAATAATGAGGGCATGTGGACATTCACAGTAACTTTATTTCCATTTCTCACACCTGCAATGTGACCAATAATGTGTTGACAGATGAGTCTTCCTGCAATGCACTGCTTCCTATAGGAGTACAATGTATACAATTTCTGTAGAAAGTCCTTACCACGCTGGAGACCCACTGTAGCCCTAACATCACTGAACCCCTGAAATATCATGGGACAACACAGCAAGGTAAGTGACATTCATTTCCACTCTACTTGTTTGCATACTAGCATTTCCCACAAGCTGTAGAATTATTTACAGGAGAACTGCGCGGTAGGTGAACTCCAGCTACACTTGTGTTTACCACCAGCTCAAAAAGAAATGCATTTAGTGTGACTTCTACTCATACTCTAATGGTTACTTTAGCCATTCCACTTCATTTGCAGTCCCCTTTTTCCACCATGCCATAATGCATTAAACTGATAAAGCCACAGTCACTTAATACTGTCTTCCCAATCCTCATTCAGATCTTCTGGCACACATGAAGTCTTGATTTAGAAGAGGAGGTCGCATCTTTCCATACTTTACAAGACAAACCCTTGGCACAGTCACATCGTTGGAAAATCTCCAGTCCATGGGACCCTTTCTTGCGCTGTTTGGTGCACACCTCCCCCTGATGCAACACAGGCTTGCAAATTTTGGTCCAGAAATGGCGAGCGCAGCAGTGTCCCTCAATACAGTCTGATGACCGTAGGCAGGGATCACCTTCGTGTCCTAAAAAGAGCAACCACATTATTTTACCTCATGGGAAAATGTGAAAGTACAGATTCAGTGCAGACTTATGCAAATGAAACTGAGAAAAAGGAGAGGTGACATTTCCACCTGTGGCTATTTGAAGGATGTAAACACAAGAGAAGATATTCATTAGGAAGGTTCAAGGGGGTAATGCGTAAGACTTAGCAAGGAGAAATTCCGCTGCAGGATTGTAAGCAGAATTACAAGCGTTCAATTACATGGCTGTTACAAGATGAGGATGTCTGCAGTCTTGCACGACTGATAAAATGATTGTCAGTCCACATCTGATACAGAGAAGAAAGCAGATGCTGTTTCAATCACAGGAACTGTCGGTTGACATTACATCACTTTCTGAGTCATGCTGTGAACTCTCACAATAGACATTCACTCCCTGTGAAATTACTGCCTATTTCTGGTTTCCACTGCTGTATCCTAACAGCACTAACATGATTCATGACATGAAGGAACAGGCCAGTGCAGCCCAAATGTGCTCTTACCTTTTATGTGTGACAGCTTGGATCGTGGCCTCCCCAGGTTGTGCCATCCCAAATCCTTGCTTGGATAATGACCATTCTTCTTGTTGCGTGGCCCTTCTAGAGCAGGGATGTGAGGAGTAAGGATGCTTTCAGTTACTGGTATGCAAATACCTGCAAGGAAAAAACAGCCATTCAAAGATTTGAATAAGAGGAAAAGCAGCTGAGAGACATGCACTGACCAGGTCAGGATGATGAAAGCACTGGGGTTTGGCCTCAGTGATGCTCAGCTGTAATCACACGTTCACCTCTGGGTCCTGGCACTTAGCCTCACCACAGCTGTACTTCACTCACTTGTCAGTCTTTCCGTCACTCTGGCGTTATGGTCCGAGCCCCTGGAGAGCTCCTTACAGACATCTCTCTCCAGCTTCCATGGGAATGCAAACAGTATGGTTATAACCCTCCCCAGGGAGAGTAGATTCAGGATTCATTAGGTCTCCTTTGCTTCCTTAAAATATGACTTCTGTGCAGTCTTCCAGTGAATCAAATCACTGAAATGTAGAGGTGTGCTTTTAGGCAGCAGCATTTTTGTATTTCTCCACCACAAAATATAAGAAAAGAGTGGTAATACCTGAGCCCTAAACATAGAAATACTATTAAAGAAAATTAGGCAGAGTGGAATGAAGACGACAATTAAGTTTCCTTGGCTTAGAAAAAGAAGTTCTGTCACCCAGGAAAAAATTCTGTTTCTGGGCACACTCATAGAAATAGATGATGTCAAAAGGCTGATTTTCTGCAGAAAAGCCCAGAGCTGGCAGCCATACCGTTGTTGCAGCGGTTCCCAGGGCAGCACATCCCGTCCCGATGGCAGCGCTTCTTCTTTCTCCGGCACATCATGCACGCAGACGTGGCTTGGTGAGGGCTGTGGCAGTACCGCCCAACTTCACATTCCTTGTCATTAGTGCAAGGATAGGCCTGGTGGGGAACAGAAAGGTTTACAGTGAGGCACTCCTTTGCACAAGGAACAAATGCAGCTCACAAAAAAACCCCAAAACAAAACAGAAAAGGAAAAAAACAAAAAAAGAAGAAAATAAATCACCATTGAAACTTCCAAAAAAAACCCCAATAGCTGAGGTAACAATTCATGGGGCTAGGAGATGCAACTAAGGATGCTCCACTGCAGCCACACAACAATCTTTAAGCTCACACAACTGCTGGTCATTGCTTAAAGAATAAGAGATGCAATCTGCTTGCTCATGGTTTCATCTTTCCTTACCTCAAATGTATGTGGGCACAAGAGATTTCATATTTTTGTGGATTCAGGGATCTCATTCCTCATAGGCAAGAGCTTAAAACTCCACAATTAACAATCAACATAGCCATGAAAGCCAGTAAAAATACTGAAGCACACCCTCCAATAGTTAACATTTCATTTTAAACTCTGAGACATTTTTCCTTTGACAGTTGTCAAAACACACTGGTTTATTATCAACAAGGTCAGCATTGCCACAGTGAGTATTGTCTGTGTCACACTCATTCAGATGTTTGTAACTGCACCACTCATCCCTGGCCCACACCAGTGGAACTCCTTGGAAGGGAACAAACATCACTGGTCAGCATTTCACTTTGATAACCTTTCATTTACTTATTGTCTTAGTATACTCCTTAAATGTACCACCTGCTAAACAACACCCTATGGTATGCAGCATGGAATATATTATAGAGTACAAAATATCTTGCACATATAATTCCCTGCAAGCAGATATATGGGTATACAATTCTTCTATATTCATCAAAACCAGCATCACCTCACAGGAAAACAGACTTTTTAAAAAAAGATTATGAAAGCACTGCATTCTCCCATAACGATAAAGAAAACCTTGTTCCTACAAAAGGAAAAAAAGAGGATTCTTGAAAGAGACATAATAACACACACTGCAACATTCCAGGATGCTCTCTGCTGACTCCCACACAGCTACAACTATGCTATCTGTCTGAATCTAATTTTATTGCCTATTAAATTAATTACAGATTTTTTTTTTCCATTCCTCAAAATTATTGTTGAAGAATTTGTTTAAACAAAAAAAGATGACCATGAATTTTGTGCACTTTCTGGAAAATTATATTTACACTTCCTCAACTAATTTCCTCCAGTATTTCAAATAAATAAAACTATTTATTTTCAAAATGATTTTGCAGTTAATTGTTGACTCCCCCAAAAAAAGCTCAACTGACTAATTTCCAGTGTAGAATGATTACTTTTCTGTAATCAGAAAAAAAAACACCTTGTGGCCTTTGAGAATGAACTTTGAAAATTGTTTCTTTAGATGGAGAGGTCCTTCATGCCATTCTGTTGAGAATCACATAAGAAACAAGAGGTCTTATAAGAAGACCAAACAAATTTCTCTCATATCTGTAGTGGGAGAGGAACCAATGCCATTTATCATGTGACTTCATGAGCTGGTTTTTTTGTCAAAATTCACTTCACGGTACCAAAAATGCTGGATGGATATTTCCCAAGTGCTGTTGCCTCATTACTTCTGCCCTCTGAATATGTGCATTTGAGAATTTTTCCAGGGTGCAGCTGTTTGGAGTAATCCAAAATATGTGGAAGTCTTTTAGGCTTAAGAATGAACATTTTCTCAAGAGGATGAAATCAAAGAAGGCCAGATCTTTTAAGCTAGAAGTACCAATAAGAGACAGATAGAAATACTTTTTTAGTACTCTTAAGGCATAAACAGATTCTACTTACTCTAGCAAAGTGGAGCCAAAGTGCTCTTACCTCAACCTTATCACACATGTCCCTCATTTTTCCAAAAATAATAAATAAAACTGACTTAAAATTTATTATATAGTTACCATAAAAATAAGACTTCCCTGATTTAAATGATACCTTACTAACCTAAGAATCTTACAATAAAAATAAAAAAAAGCAATTTTATATTGCTTAATTTTAAGACTTGTGCCTGATTATATTGCATTTGAAAAATACTAATTCTGCTAGCTGGAGGAAATGCAAATAAAAAACAGATGGATTGGCTAAAACCTGGAGATGAAGGCATTTTAGACCCTTGTCTGTCATCAAGACCTTCATAACCATATCTTTTTTCTAATATGGGCATGTGGCATACACCTGCAACTTGTCAGCAAGAAGCCTACTTGCAGTTTTATTTTGGTTCCTCAAATAGCTTCTTAAAAAAAAAGTTCCCTGATCTCAAATGGTGCTAATGAATGCTCTCACATACCATATCTAGTGATTGTTTTTCTTTTGGCTTTTAAGCTGAGTGACATGGAAAAGATATTTTAAGATACGAATCTAATTGTCAGTTCTAAACTCTGTCCTTGAAAATGGTAAAAGTAACAAAAGACAACTTCAAAAATTGCTAAGGAAATCAACAGAACCCAGCCTTTCTTCCTAATCTAGAGCCCATTCCTAAATAAAAATCATACTTTTGAAATACAATAAGCCAAAACTGACCTACCTAAGGCAAATGACTGCAGCACATCAAAAAATAAGTCTTACATGTAGCTTAGACAATAACTAGCAGGTCCACTCAAAAGACCAACTACCAGCCAGCCATAAAAGACCCTCTTGCAAATGCCCTCTGCCATCAACTGTTTTGATCTGCCAAAATCACTATCCATTCATAGCCTGGCTATCAATCACAGGGACCTTAAAATGCCTATATAGCCTTGTGTCTGTTTCCTAGCCACTGGACATTCATTAGAATAGACATAATTCCTGCTCTCAGCAGAGTAATTTCTATTGCTGTGTAGCATTCATTATAGAAACAGAAAAAGAAAACAAAATAATATATTGTTTACTTAGCCTTGGCTACCAAGAGGGAAATGCATCCATAATTATTCCTTTGCTGTCAGTTGAATCAATCTAGGTATACTTTCTCTTTAAAATACAGAGTAAAGAAAACATGTAAAAATGTGCATGTAAACTATTATCTATGCACAAGTCAAGGATTTCAAAATCTTCTACAATACAGTGCCTGGAACAGAGTCTTTACGTTCAGAGAATTGTAGAGTACATTTCCTATATACAACACAAAGACACAGATCAGTCCCAGATGGAGAGGGAAGAAGCAAGCTGTAAACCAGCTCTACTTCCCCTGCAAAGATAACTAATTCTATTCTATTCTACATCATCCCTTCACATTCTTCAGCTATACATATCATTTTCTGGTTGTAAATCTCCATCCACTAAACACAGCTTTGATATCATGGAAAACCAGATGAAACTTAGATAAAATATGTAGCACTCCCTGAAGCAGCATTAAAACATCTTATTTTTTCATCCCACATACAGGCAATCAAGTCACCCGTAGCATGACATAAACTAGATTTGCCCGTGATAATGAGTCACATTTTCAGAATGTGTTGTTTGATTAAGAGCATTGTTTGCTGACATGTTTTTTCCTCAGACATTCCAATTAGTTTTGTATCCTTGTATAAAAGATACTTTTGATTACTTGTCCAAAACTGTATAGCAAAGGGATTTTTGCAATGTAGGAGGATTCAGGCTAGATGTTGAAATGGGTGTTGCTTGTGCTGTGATAAAAAGTCACCTACATCAGTCCACCAAGACTAATCTTTATCAATCAGGTCACAACAACACAGAGATGTTAAACTTTTCTCTTGGAGAGAGAGAGAATATTCCTTCCCTTCTGAATTTATATTAAAAATTCTGTGAATCTATGATAGAAATACTCAAGGAAAATTATGAAGAGGCTAGAGGTAAAAAGTTGGGGATTTTTACAGTTGAACAAGTCCTTCCAAGCACTGAAGATCTATCTTCCTTTTTTTACTAACTTCCCTGGAAGGCTGCGTAAAGAACTGGCTGTCTACGTTTTGTGACTAAGTGGGTAATGTCATTCCCATGATTTGAGAATCATGCAGCAGTGAGGTTAATGTTTATCTTCATCTTCCCCTTTTGACAGAGGATCTCTTAGCCCCTTTCCTCAGTGCAATGACAATTTCTTGATATATTTACTGGAGTCATTTGCTATCACACATCTTTTATAGGCACCACAGAGTTTCACTGAAAGCTGTAGAAATATTAAGTCGTGAGATTGTTGTGCTAAGATGTCAAACAATTTGAGTCTCTCTGTCTGGCACTATAAAATGTAGTGGAGAAGCATTCTGGGGGAGAATAAGACAGACGCTGTAATGTGCTGAAGGGTGAGGAGACTGATGGCAAACATACTTTATTGAGCTTTGGGAGATAAGGTCTTGAATTTCAGAATGGCCTCCAGCAAATATCTGAAGACAATATTCCCAGCCAGGGTCTTAGTCACCAGGCTCTCATCTGTTCGTATTATGATGGCTCATTTGTTTTCATGCTGAAGTACTCCACAATGTACTAGCTAACCAAGTCGGTGAAAGGCAAGAAGAGCCACTGGCATTTTTACCTAGGCTGTGTCATCACTTATCCAACACAAGCAGTCGAGACACTGCTGGCTTCAGACCCACCTTCAACGTTGAGAGGAGCTGTGCCTAAATAGGTGTTTTGATGGAACAGATATCAGTAGTGATTCCCCCAAAAGCAATTAATTTTTATTTTAAACACATCATAAAGTCCAAGTGCAGAGTCAGCCCTGGCAGAAAATCGTGGCTACTACCACTCCCAGCAGAAGAAACAGCATGGAAGTTGTCCATTAGCCTTTCACTGCAGATTCCAAGCAGCACTCAGTAAGACAGATGAAATTTCATGTACCACTGAAATGACAGTACCACTGCACTTATTGTTCTGCACACTCTGCCAGATTTGGTCCATACAATCATCCCCTGATGATAGTGGGGACTGAGTGGAAGAAGAGGAGAAAAGCCACAACCAGTTGTACAGTCAGAAAGTGAGAAGTCTCCAGAGCTACCAGATCAGTCCTTCATCATCCTCTCTCACTTGGCACAGAGGCGGTAGCTACATTGCAAAGATGAAACAAGGGACTCAAGGAAATGGACACATA